TCGTCTTCCTCGGCTGCTCTGAGAGTTGAACGAACTCCAGTGGGTGCCTCTGCTGCGGCTTCCGTCTCGGGTCGCGGGTTCGTCGACGGGGACTATTTTTCCTCGACTTGAGAAAGATCGTGTTCGAAAGATATTTTGATAGGTACGCTTCACGGGCATGAAACGCGATACCCATTACCTCCGCCAAATTGTCACAAGTGACGAATGATGAGGCGGCGAATAACTAAAGAAACAGAACGTTTAATGGTGCGAACTTGTGCCCAAAGCAAAAGAAAGGGGAAGCGAGTTAGTGTCGTGGCTGTCGACGTCGGCGCAACAGCAGGATCGAGCGCTGGGGCGAAACTGACTGTGGCTCGCCCACTCGGAGTCACTTATTCACACGCGTTGGCTTCTGGAACAATCGGAGTAGAAGGTCCTACGCGTAGAACATTCGAACCTCCAACAAGAATTAAGGTTCTCGAATTACTAGGACAGTGGTTCTAAACCATTGCTATTTCGCGGACTCCTTGTGGATCGGCGGCGATGCTAGACGACCTTGTTCGTGGTCAGGGGAATGAGAAGGCATAGGATAATTATAATATTGATTTATTAGATACATATAACTCAGTGGTAGTGCGATGTGGACTTCTGTGATTGAGATACGCACGAAAAAGCTCACGCGAAAACTGAAACATTTCTTGTCAATTTGAGAAAAAAAGAATACAACTTTTATTCTCGGGCTTGACTGGCGAAGCAGAGGCTCCGTGAACACCTTTGGGGATCGCGGGCCCCAAATGTTCCGCGGTCCCCATTTGAGAACCACTGTACTAGAACATTAAATGGAAAGAATAAATAAAAGACGCGAATCTCCCAAAAATCGAACCCTGGGCCTTCGCACGGTTCCCGAAGGCTTGTGCTATGGAAAGGGATACAACTTTTACTGTGATTAGTAAGGGAAAAATATTCGTCAGTCAAAAAGAGCGAGCGGCAGCAATTCAAATCAGGAGTGAACGAGACCTAGTTAAAATTAGGTGAACATGGACTCGTCTTCTGATTCGTTCTGTAAGTCGGGCGCATACATCCGGGGTTCGAATGTAGAAGGTCACCTTGACGCTAAGTTAAATTTAATTCACTAAAAATGTTAGAAGTATTCATAAGGATTTGGATCAGTTACTGCTATTATTAGGCGAGCCAATTCTACTTTTAAATATGCTTATATTGAGGCATGTAAACGTTGACGAGACAGCTTGCGCTATATTTTCCTTGCAAGGCTTTCATTTTTGCAGCTTTTGTCGAAATGACAGAAAAGGGGGTGTTATTATTTATATAAATGACCATTCTTTGTCTGGAAATATTTGTGTATTTCCAACAAGCAGAAATTTGCGTTGTGACCGTTAATAAAACGAATGTTTCGTACGTCATTTGCACGTTTTACAGGCCACCTAGTTCGAATGTAAACATATGCTGTGATAAATGTAGACAATTACTTCACAATTTCAATAAGCACTAATACAGAGTTCTTGTTGTAGATTTCACTATTGATAATTTAAACGATACAAAACAAGAAGTATCGTATGTACTTGACAGCTTCCCGCATTTTGTCCTGGCAAATATAATTAATAATTATACCCAGGAAGAATACAATGGTAATAAAAGTGCGAAATCATGCATAGATCACATAGTTACAAGAATGAGTAATTTAGAAATAATATCTGGAGTTGTTAATAAAAAGGTGGCTGATCATCACTTTACTATTTTTTTAACACTAGAAAAGCTTGCTGAATATCCGGTTACAGAAATTATATACAAGGTGATGCAGGGCAACACAGAAATTGATAACTCAAACATAAGTATAACTAGAATTCTCTGTTACAGTACTGACAAACTTATGACAAACTTGTGGAAACCTCTCAGAGCATTTATTTATTAGTACCAGAAGAGTAAATTTGACGAAACGGAGGCCCCAGAATACCCGGATAAACGAGGGAATTTTTGAATTATGTTAATATTAGGACCAGCTCTGGAATCAAGGAAACACCAAGCTAAGAAATGAAATTCGTGAAATTCGTATCAAAGTGACAGCAAAATACGCTTAGCCAAAAGGAAACATATTTTAAATCGGCTCATTCAATCAAGACCAAATTCGAAGGAGACCTGGAACTTAGTAAACCAGATAATTTGCCCAAAACCTAAAAATAGCGCGGATGATACGATTCAGAAACATTTCCATAGGTCATCTTCTTATGCGGCATTATCAGTGTCTTTAAAAAAAAAAGGTTTATCAACTCCGTAAAAAAAGCTAAAAAATTTACTCCACTGTTAGTCCCATTGCTATCACTCCACAAGTCAAGTGCTCTAATTCGGCGTATTTGCCAAATATATATATATATAAAAAAAATTATATTTGAAAATTATTATTTCTATGCGAAAAGCTAAGCTAAGCATATGACGGAGGCTTATTGCGGAGAACGCGCCGTGTAACCGAGCTTTCGGTTGCACGTCAAAAGATCCCCAGGTGGTCGAAATTAATCCTCAGTCCTCCGCTGGGGCGTGCAAGATGCCCGTCGTAGGTTTGGCACGTAAAACCCCCAAATTTGAGTTTTGCTAAAAGCTAAGCCACCAGAGTTTGACAAGATAAGAATCCGAGATATTAGGTATAATTTTGATAGACTGGAGCTGTTCACACAAATAATTATTATTCAAATCCTCTATAGGGGAGGTATTCCGAAGAGCCTAAAGGTCTTGATTATACGTCCTACATATAAACGTGGAAAACTTCAAGAGTTTGAGAGCTACTGACCAATTCCTCTTCTACCTATATTAACTCGTATAATAAACAAAATGTGTACAACTTGCGATGACTAGCTTCCGCGATACTTTTTTTAATTAAGTAATACGAATATAGTTTCCGACAACAAAAACGTGCCATTACGCTATTAGAAGATTGTGCAGATTGCGTGAACGAAGCACCGGAGAACTTGTTTAAATATCGTTTACTCGTTCAAACATTGGTGCTACTTTTTATTAAAAAAATGGATACTCTGATTAGAGCAAATCAGAGACGCCTCATAGACCCCAATGGCTGTATATATATAGCCACTAACTGCGAGTCGCTCTTCGGAAGTTATCGGGAACATTTGTCGATCCCGTCCTCCCAGCAACAGTTCAGGTTTGAGTTTCGCTGCTTTCCCATTTTCGTTGTCTCACAGCTACACATGCGTCGCCCTTTCAATATGAAAAATACTCGTTACGTTGGCATGGGTCCTTCTGAACCGTACAAAGACGCACAATCACTAGCTCGGCGTGTACTTTATCGAGCAACTGCGGCGCAGTATGAACCTATCAAAACTTAAGTGGAACGGATTTGCTGTCAGGCCGCGTCCTTTTTCGAGTGCTTGTTTAAATCGGGGTGCTACTTTTATAAAGAAATGGGTATCCTCTAATAGCGCTGACAAGAGCCGCCAAACAAACCTCCGTGGCTTCCTATCCGCGGCCGCGAACTGGGGTGTGGGACGGACATGTTCAATGCTTCTCTCACAGACGTTCGGCGCACGGGATGTAAACAGGCGCGAGGCGTACCTCTCGGCACTTTCGAGCCGCCTCTGATTGGTTCAGCAGCCACGCGACTGGGCGCCCCTTCGCAAAAATCGGCCTGAAAGCGACTGCATCAAACCTGTCGCTTTCGTGACTTGCGATTATCGCTGCTGCGACAAACGTGGTCGCGCTACAGCTGCGACTTGCCAGTGTGAACGCTTCTTTACAGCCGAAGTTGTGCGGCAAAGCCGCTGTGACGAGGGCAAGCTAGTAGGGTTGTGCAAGGTTCGACTCGAATAGCGCTGCGTCATTCAAAGCCTTGACAGTGTAAGGGAAAGCGAAGTCGAATAGTTCATTCAACAGTGCAGAAGCTAGGGATGACGTTGGCCTACTTAATTCGAACCACTATTCGCACAACCTTACAAGCCAGCTCAATTGGAGTAATGGCTTGTTGTCGTTTTTCTCTTAAAGAGATCATATGATACTCGTTTTCTTTTGAACACAAGTTAGTTAAAGTCACTCTGAACGAATTAACAGAGTTTAAAGAGAATAAAAAGTCGAGTTTCTTTTTGAATATTGACGTGCAATTCTGCCACATTTAGTAGATTGTACATTGTTTCTGCATTACTAACATAACTACAATAATCAATAAGCATAATACTTTATACATTCGTCATACTGATTTAAAGGTGATCATTCTGATATATTCCGCCTTATTTTATATTAAGCAATTCGATGGTGAATAATTTTGAATATCTTCAAAACGTGTTTTTTTGACGGGTTTCGAAAATATTTTTCCATAGCAATCTTTTATTGACATTTTTAGTCCTCCGCATACCTCTCATAAAATAAAAAGAAAAGATCATTACTACGTCCATGCTTCGGCGTGAGCTTGACCGCTGTTCAAATTACCATAGGAAAACCTTAGCATTCACCACGCCTGGAGCTTCGAAACTTTGAATCTCCAAAACAAAAAAATTAGTTACGGCGTTCGCATATAGCTGAAAGCCTCTTCCAGGAATACGGTATCAACATATTTTGACATTACTATAAAAATATGAACTGGGAGCCTATGTTCGAGAAATGTTTTGTTTCTCCTTAAAAGAAACGGAAGTAACGGAACTGACGATATGGCGTCTGATCGGTTAGAGGCTAAAACTGACGAAAAGTTTCTACTTTCGTTATTTGAGCCTCTAGCCAATCAGACGTTATATCGTCAGTTCGTTCACTTCCGCTTCATTTTCGAAGAAACGAAATAGTTGTCGGACATAGCTCGCCTGGACTATCATTTTACGATCTGACCTGGAAACACCCTGAAGTCAAGTACACGTTGCCCTGCTACATCAATATTCATATCAATAATTGAATTGTGCGAGTACTTTATAGTTTATCTTGACTAAGAGGAGCATTGTAGTGTGCTCTAATATTACATAGATTGAGATCGCCTTAGCTTAAAAAAAAGTTGTGAAAGTTCGTGTTTTGCTTACCTTGGGATACTTTTTAGACAAGGTGGAGATATTCATTTCGTTGTACATTGAGGTTAAGTTACGCCTGTCTTCTTCAGCCTTAGAGTGCTTAGAAAAAGAAAAAGAAAACAACCGAATAATGGACGTAATTTTTTATTCTCAAAACCTTCCCGATATTTTTTTTTTTTTTGCCAAATTATGTTTTATTGCGAGTCCTTTTTCTTTTTGAGATTCCATGCAAAAGACACTAGTACCGTGTTTGTCAAGGGTGCCCAGACGTTCTAGTCTAGCTAATTTAATAGACCCGCCCGAACGTTTTGGTAACAAATTAAAATTGCTATGCGCAGGAATTATTTCCCAGACCACTCACACACACGGGAATGATTGGAGTAAGGCAAACCCCCGTCAAGATATTCCACGTAAGCCGCACTAAAGTATTTTTTTTCGCCACCTTTTTGGCCATCGGTATGGTTTGTCGGGAGTACCCATTTGAGTATTAAAGCGAATGGAAAATTGCTTTTTCCTGGGAATTTCACTATCTGTTATACTGTGTTCCAGGACTTTAAAAGGGTCCTAAGCTTTACGTGATCACCGTACTTGGCTGGTGTTCATAACCTGATGAATGCTCCTTTTTACTTGTCAATATAATGACTTTAAGGCCATTGAGACATCTCAAAAAGGATGAAAGTTTGATAAAGCAGTGATAAATGGTGCATTTAAAAATAAGCGAACAATATCTTAGATTGTCAGTGAAATGATTTATAAATTTCACTTTGCAGAAGAGCTTCTTAATTAAGGCATAAATATATATTTTGCTTTAGATACAAATATTCTCGAAATCATATTGACACCACCATCAACATATCAACATATTGAGTGGGAGTGGTGAGGAATTTTATGTTTGAGGACTAGTTCTTTTTAACACTGCGCGACACTGTTTGCACCTACACAACAACAACGCTTCGGTATAGTTTATGTAGGCACAGCGGGAGAAGTACCAAACTGTGTAACTTAGAATGCTGCCCTAAATTAAAGCTATTTGTTTTAAAATTGAAAATCAAATTTAAAAAAAAGTACAATTAAATTTTGAATAGCTTGTTCTTGCTAAAATGCATCGCGTTGAGTACTTGGTACTAAAACTTCAGCAAGTGCACAGAGGTAAGCATTTCGTGGAATATTTCGAACAGAGTAACAAATATTAAACGCACAAAATTTCACCTAAAGAGTATGGAACCTGTAAACATTTTTTCCGGAAATGCATAAGATCACGATCAACGATCACGAAATTTTAAATTGAATAACAAATTAATTTGCTTTAGAGGGAGATAAAATATGTATGGATGTTCGAAATACTCAGGTTCGATCTAAAATGGGTCGTAAACATCAGCGCATGTACGAAGCAATCTAAATGTCTCGTCAAGAGTGTATTTCACAGGTCGGTTTTATCTTCTAAGAATGTAAAGCGTAACTCCCATTCTGTAAAACATATGGCCAAAAAGCTTGCCAGGGTCAACAGTGGCCGGCGACGCAGACAACCGAGTAGAGCGGCGGGGAGCGTTTGGCGTACGTTTTGATAGATGGCATCCGGAGCAGCGTCGGTAGGTGTAGCTTACCAGCGAAAGAAAGCAAACGACACGCTATTGAAATCCGTCGTCAGCGAGAACGTCGTCATTATGCAACGGCGTTTTTTTTTTTTTTTGCTCTTACTTCGTTTTGCTTTTATTGTCCGCATTTATTTTTTAACAGAAGGTACATTATAAAAATACTGTGTTAATTTAAATAGACCACCGTCGTCGCGAGCAGTCTCAAATAATGCCCCTATAAATCTCGATAAGGAGGTAGAGCCATCTTTCAAGACGTGCACCAAACGGCCCCGTGTCACACGACTGGTCGTCTACGTCGCCGTCCGCCGTGGAGCATGGCAAGTACTTTGGCCATCCTTTTTACAGAATGGAAGCTACACTTTGAATTTTTACAAGATAGAACCGACTTCTAAAATACATCTTTGACGAAAAGTTTAGATAGCTACATGCAGGCGCCGGTTTTTCCGGCCCATTTTAGTAGAGCCTGCTTATTTCAGACACCCAATACTTCAGATCTGCTGTTGGAATGTGTTATATATTACCTTTGCCAGTTTGACCTCAAACTGTACTATATCCTGAGAAAGTTGCTGTGCCTCCTCTTCAGTTAAGTTGGGTCTGAATACCTTCGCAGTTGACGCAATAACCTTCTTGTAGGCAGCGATTACATTTCTATTTTCTTTTTTCGTGTCGTCAATCAGTTTCTTTCCACCAACCCAGTCAAACTTAATTTGGTCGAGCTTGAGAAATAGTGCATGTTGAAATTCACTTGTTAATATAAGTATATCATACATATAACATATACGTTTGTAAACAGGATATTTCATAGTTAGTGAAACACTCGACTTAAGGAATTATTGGGCATGCAGTTGAGAACAATTCATTATAAGTGGAGTAACTCTTCTGTTTCCACCTGAATCATAATATCTACAGCTAAGTTTTGGGACTGAAAACTCATCGAGCCATATTTTACGCAAATAGTAATGTTTTCATAATATGTTCTCTTTTGCGGTTGTGTGATTACGATACAACCATGTTAGCCAAAATAATGAGCGTCCTTGTTTAGAATAAAGATGTGTAGTGGCTGGATACATTCAAACGTAACTAAAATTAATCTCACGTATTTAGTTCAAAACCCGCTCAGGCGGCTAAAAATTGCGACAGTTTTTCACGCAATAACAGCCAGCGTGCAGACGATCTGGCGATAATTCATCAGAATGTAGCACCTGAGATTGTGGGGCAGAAATATTAGTGAACTTTCAAGTCAAAGAAAAATATAACACTCGGAGAAAGTTCTATACTACATGTTCTTTGATTTGAAGTTTTTTTTTCGCACATTAAGGTAAGGTATTGCATTATGATTACTTTTATATTAAAAGAAAAATAAAAAAAAAAACTTTCCTGTGACCTAAGTTGTTGACTCCCCCGCTTGACTGCCAGCACAAAGACATGCTTTTTTTACTACAGCTCATGCGAGAAGCGTATGCCGTCTCGCTGCCTTCATCAATATTCATAATAATATAAAAATATCGGTTGCTCCAAAGAAAACGCTCCGGCTTACGGATCCGCAAGTGGCGGGTTCGAATCCCGGCCGAAGTGCCCCCATTTGGTGAAGGTGTCCGTACTCAACTGGCAGTATGTGCATAAAATTGAATCAGGTTTGGTGGATTGCGGATCGGGTGCGGTTGCTAGGGGCTGCGGATGCGTATAGGATGCGGATATCTCTGAGTGTTGCTCTGGATTGTTGCCGAGCCCGCCGGTTAAGCTGTGCGACAGCAGACGCTAGAGTTAATGAATGAGGATACGATAAGGTGCATTGTCAATTGTTTTGGAAAAACAAATAAAAAAAATAATATTATTTTTTTTTTTACGCCAGGATTTGATTTTTATTAAAGATTGATTTAGAGCGTTCAATCTCGCGAGAGAAAGTGTGGTCTTGTTTGGCAGGAAAAGAGCGGAAAACGTTCTTCGGTCGAATGAAATTCGAACACGTTCAAGCCACAAAAAGGCAGAAGGCTCCTCGAGAAGTAAAACGTGACGTGTGTGTGCGTTTTCAGTCTGGACAGTTGGCGTGTTGCTGCTAAGTATGTGGTTCAGAGCACACAGTTGCAGAATCGTGTTTAAAACTGAAACCAGTATGACATGTTGTCATAAATAAATATTCTCATATTTTCACAAGGGTGTACCCGCGTCTTTCCACGTATATACGAATACGCTCCGGTGAGTGGCCGCCTTTTTTACCGCTTTTAACTATCTGACATAAATAAATTGACAGAGTGTTATCAGCTCTACCCTAATGTTCGCGATTAGAAAATACCCGTGTGCTTAAAGTCAGTGTTTAAATAAAATAAAAAAAAAATATTAATTTTTTTATCGCATCTTTTGACTAGAATGTTGCAGTCCTCCAGGACCGTCTCATAACTTAGATCATCGTTCCAAGGACGCGGGGTGTATCCTGGAAGGATGATCGCTAAATCATAAATCGGAAAAAAATACCATCAAATGTCTTTCAGCGTATTAACGCGCGCCAACTAGCCAGAACGGCCGTGGCCTAACGGTTATCGCGCTTGCCTCACACGCCAAGAGTCAGGGTTCAATTCCCGGGAGTTACGCGTCCTTTTATTTATTCTTGCAGTTCAATGTACTGGTGATTTCGAGAACTCTGTCACCTGTTCGAGGTGCGAATGTTCTAGTCGCCGAACCTTCCAGGTCGATTGAACCTTCCAGGTCGATTGTACACGCGATGGCTTCTTGAACAGAAGCCATCGCGTGTACATAAGGGGCTCCACGTGGCGATCTGCAGTCAGTCTCACCCCAGCGCTCGAACCTGCTGTTACGCCCAATTCGACGCCCGCGACGCTTTGTTCTCATCTTCTGTTTTCCTTTTTCTTTTGGGCACAAGTTCGCCTCATTAAACGTTTAGTTTCTTCAGTTACTCTTCGCCTCATCATTTGTCATTGGTAACAGTATAGTGACTCGAAGAGATCTTTCTATACAGATAGCCAAAATTTATAAGGTACCATCCAGACTTTATTTTTCTTTTTTACTTTACGTTGTAGTTAATGATATAACGTGAATGCAAAGATTCCAGGTTGGATGTGGTTCCGAATTTCGCAAATGCAGTTTGAGTGCGAATACAAAGTCCGCAGAAAGGTATCGGATGCGGATAATCAAACTGTCATACGCAAAGGGCTCTGGCTATCGGGTGCATAACTGTTCAATAAGACCACAGCGCCGGCGGCATAAACTACTTCACTTCGGCGACTACAGGTTTAGAACATATTCAGAACCATCACTCCACTCTAATAGAATCAAAGAGTATAGTTTTCCCCAAAGCAAATGGAAGAGCAAATTACTGCAATTTATGGAGAAAGCTCGGCAATGTAAAAAATCAATGATAACAAAAAAAGCTTTTCTTGATCATTCTAATAAACCATGGGAGCACGGAATGGGTCGTGTGTGTATTATGATTTTCTATGGTTAGTGGCGAGGAACTTTAAGTGCTTTCCAATGCCCGGCAGACGTGACACACTCTTGTAACCTCCGGCGTCATCAGGCTGATCAAGACCATTTTTAAGGTATTTATTTATTTATTTCATTACCCTCAGGGCCCATCGGGCGTTACAGAGGGGGGTGGGTACAATGGATTTACGAAGTACAAATGATCAATTTACAGTACCAAAAAAATAGACAACAACAACAAAACAAATGAAAAAGGTGTAGATTCCGGGAGACCCTCCCCGAGAAGGCGTGAGCCGCCAACGTTCCGGGCGAAGCCGTGTGACTTCGAGCCCGGTCGCTCCGTATCGTGTCGGGGAGAATACGTCAGCATGCTACTCTCTCGCACTCCTCCGCGCGTCTCCCCTTTTTCGGGGAAACAGCGAGAACGAGCGAGGAGAGAGTCGGGCCTGCCCTTCTCCGAGTGGACGGCCGTCAGGTGGAGGAGACCTGGATTGGACTCCGGGCGACGGGTCAAGTCGCGGCGCGAGCTCGTCTGACCGGCGATGACTTCACGCTAGTGATTCCCCTGGCTGTAACAGTCGGCGTCCCCACTACCTGTGGACGTCCTCCGCCCAAAGGCCTGGCCCCGAACTCCTGCGACGACGCGTAGCGGCGTGAGCTCGTCCGACCGGCGTTGACTCCGCTCGCAATTACCCCTTCGGCTCTCAGGTCGGCGGGCGCTGCGCGCACACTGTGTTCACGGCTCGCTTGACCGCAGTGTCTTGTTGGGGACCCCTGGTACTCAATAAACCCTGTTGGATACCGGGATCATCGTTGTTGGCATGGCGTTGGTGAAATCGGCGCTGCGAACGCCCTCGCTGTTAACTGTCGGCCGCGCGGTGGGACGGGCATGGGATTACCCTTTGAGCTCCGGTCCCACGACGCGAAGGTGCGTAAACTTCCCTCCTTTATTCCCACAAAATCAGCAAATAAAAAAATTGCAGAGTTATGAAAGTAATCAATTATGGCTGCCTTGAAAGCAGAAACATCTTCCATCGTGGCGATGTGTGGGGAAGGTGGTTTCATTCTGAACAAGTTTTTGGCAATAAAGAATAAAAAAAATATGCTAGTGCTGCAATGAGGTAAGGCAAATTTGTACTGGTGATCAAGCCGGGATGAACAAACGTAGTTCCTGTTTGAGCACTGGGTTATGAAAAAAATATTTTATGAAAATCAGAAAGACGCGCAATTTTTCTTCGAAACATTAGTCCAGGAATACCTGCATTAGACTTCATTAGTGACACGCTAGCAACGCGGTAATAACTAAAGTTCGGTGGGAATAAGGTATCAATTACCGCCAAAAGTCGTTTGCTGTCTATACTACAGCGTGGGCGAAATGGATTGAACGCACCATAGACAGACCGCATAAATCGGTGTCTTAACTTGATCGCGCTCAGATTTACTACAGAGAAGCCTGAGGTTGGTGGAAGCTTTCGCTAAAAATGTGGAAAAATCGGCTCAGCTGAGTAAATAAAAAAAGATTAAAAAAGCTATTTTCTCTGTACTTCGCATATACAATAAATATATGTGTTACTATGGCGCTCATTTGAGCCCAATGAAGTGAAGAATAGGTAAGCCAATTCTATTTTTCTTTCAATTTTACAAACTCTTCTGTCGTAGGAAACGCCAGAATGGCCCAAAAAATGTTATGATGATTTTAAGATAAACTTTTTACCGGTAAATTTTCCTAAACAAAACCAGTTTTTTTTTTTTTTTTACCCCGGAGGTTTTATGTATTCACATTCTCAAGAAATATAACGCACCAGCTCCAAGCGCCTCCGCAGTAAATACAAAGCACTAAGTTAAGAAACCAATTTATGTCACAATTAGAAACATAAGTTACAGAAACCACTTAGAACAGGTTATCACCCAAAGCCCGAATGCAGTCGACACTACAATTTGTTGGAGCAAATCAAGCAGTGGCAAAAGTGCATCGTCAGGATGTTCATCCTCTTCGTACGAAGGGTGTGCGAACAGAAGTTTCTAGATGTGAGGTTCCAGCAGAAGAGTGAGCTGAAAGACCCCTTTTTGTTCCACCGGATTGTGCTCCGTCATTCGTCTGGTTGCCGTTCCTTGTAAAAAGAAGCAACGAGGGACTTCACTAACAGTGGTTTGAATTAAATTGCGTCGCGTCATTTATGGCTGTCACAGCGGTAGGGGAAACCAAGAACTACCGGTTTCTTGCAGCGTCGATGCTCAGAATGACGCGGCGCTATTCGATTCGAACCACTATTGGCAC